ACCCTGGGATCACCCCAGATCGCTACTTCTGACCCCCATGTCCTCCCCCACCCCCACCTCCAGCGCGCGAAGCAGAGAACGAGAGGAAAGTTTGCGGGGTTCGAATCGAAAATGTCGACATCTTGCTAATGGTCTGCAAACTTCCGCCAATTATGACTGACCTCCCAGACTCGGCCCCAGGAGGCTCGTATTAGGCAGGGAGGCCGCCGTAATTCTGGGATCAAAAGCGGGAAGGTGCGAACTCCTCTTTGTCTCTGCGTGCCCGGCGCGCCCCCCTCCCGGTGGGTGATAAACCCACTCTGGCGCCGGCCATGCGCTGGGTGATTAATTTGCGAACAAACAAAAGCGGCCTGGTGGCCACTGCATTCGGGTTAAACATTGGCCAGCGTGTTCAGAAGGCTTGTGCTGGGCCTGGCCTCCGGGAGAACCCACGAGGCCAGCGCGCCCCGGACCCCGGCATTAGGCGCCAGCTGCCGGCTCTCCGCGGTCTTTTTCTCTCTGCAGACCCCTCGATCCTCTTTCCTTCAGTCTTAACACTCAACAAAAGACAGACTAGAGACGTTGAAAGAGCCTGCCCTTTAACAGAGTCCAAGAAGAGGGTGACTTAAGGGCAGGAGAAGGGAGAAAGAGGGCAGATTTCGGGTCAGAAAAGACCCAGATAATTTCTGGTGTCTCTGAAACAGTCCTCCACCTTTTCGCAAAAAGAGTTTTCATTTAATTGTAGATCTGGAATTTAAAAAGTAAATTAACTGAAAAACCTCTCTATCTGCAATGCCTGCAGCATTTAAAGTAGTGTGAGTGCATGTAGGCGAGTGTTAAAGGTGGGTGGGGGGAGGACCCCGAAAATAATGTTCGTTTGTGGGGGTGGGGTCGGGGTGGGGGTGGGGGGAACAAAACCAAATCAACTGTCCTTAGCCCAGGCCACGGTGCCAGCAAAGAAGCTGGCCTTGCCTGAGACGGAAGCTTAGCCCGCACCACTTTTCCCTGCCGCACTGCCTGCCTCAAACTATAAAGGGGACAAACCGACCCTTTTGTGATCAAATAGTGTTTATCTGAAGTTTACAGAAAAGGCGGGGAGGAGGGGAAAAGGATGGTGGGTAGGCGGGGTCGTTTACTTTGGCCAGTTTGCTGTAAATATTCCCTTCAGCATGTGTGAGGTCTGGCAAGAGACTATTACATGCTTATTCCCTCTTAAACTTTCACCCCCGTTTGCCGCAGAGCTCTTTTCAGTCGGAGGTGTCACTAAATTGGGAATTCTGTTGACAGAAGGGCATCCAAGATTCTCCGGGGGTAGGAGACCTAATTAAGAAATTTCCTACAGGGGTGGGTTCATACATGAACTTTTCCTGGGGGAGGGGCTTTCTGGTCATCCTGGCAGCTTGGCAATGGCTTCTCGTTTCTGCCCAGTGCCCCAGCCCATTTGATCTCAGGATCCCAGCCTCTTTTGATATTGACAAGCTTTGAAACTGACCAGGTGCCTGCCCCCCTAGGGCTCTCATTCTCTTTCGGGCTCAGTTCTCCCACCTGAGGAAGTGATTTTCTTATCACGGATCCCAAGGAAGTAGCTCTCTGGGGAGTATCTAGTTTACTGTTTGTGGTTCCTCCTGCAAATTGCCCTAGCACCCCCTACCCCTCTGGGGTACATACATTAGCACTGCTGTGCTACCCGGAACCCTGACTCTCCCCCTGGCAGTGCTGAACCCAGTGGAGGCTTGCTCTTCCTCCAGGAGTCTCCACTCACCATGAACCCCCACCCCCTCCTCCTCCCCAAAGCTTGCTGTGAGAGCGTAGTTCCTCTCTGGTCCAGAGGCTGCCTGTCAGTCCCTTGGAGACAGGCTGGGCTCCACCACCTTTCCTCCCTCCAGAGCAGACACTAGCTTCTTGGTTGGACCAGACAGACAGTCCAGGACATTCACCTTTTGTTTCTTTTTCCCTTCCTTTCTTTCTCTTCCCCACCCCGCCCCCGCACCCTTTTCTTTTGGTCTCCCTGTCTTTCTGCTCATCCCCATTTAGGATTATTTGAATGTGGGTCTGGAATCTTTCTTACTCTTTTTCCTTCTACTTTTTGTTTTCTTCCTTGCATCAATCTTGTTCTTGGTTTCTATTTCTCTTTCTTGTCTTGTATCTATTTCCCAGGCTTTCACTTCTCATGTTTTGTTTTGTTTTGTTTTGTTTCTGTCTTCTTTATCCTTTCTTTCTATTTTCTCTGGCTGTCTTGGTCCTGTCTGAATTCTCTCCTGTTTTTCTGACCTGGTGCCTCCGTACACTGCCACCTTTCTCTCCCTCATCTTTCTCAGCAACCATGACAGCATGGAGATCCCTCTTCCTGTGGCTGAAGCAAACACCTTCCCCTCACTTCCTTGACTAGAAAGATAAAGTGTCTTGAGAGATGGAAAAACGTTGTGTGCATTTGCCTAGGGTGGCAGTTTCACCTTCTCCTCTTGGCATTTCCAAAGCCACCCCTTTCTCCCGAGTTGAACCCCATCCTTGCTCCCTAAGCTCTAAAGCCACCTCCCCATCTTTTCCAGGGCAGGCATCTAGGGTGAGGAGCTGCAAGTGGAGCTCTATAGCCCCAGCTCCCAGCTTCCTACTTGCCCCAGCAGCACGGAGCTTTCCTGTAACGCACATTTCTCCTATCCTCTGACATTCCTCTAAATTATTGATCTGGGCAATTTGGTGCAAGCATCTGTAGCATGTTTCAGAGAGAGAAGATTGTGAAAGTTGTCTTGCTTGGAGAAGTAATATTTTCAGTACAGAGGCTCAGTTTGGCGCCAGTTGGTTTATGCCGTTTCTAAAGCATCATTCGCTATGCACTTAATCCATGCTCATCATACTTCCTTAATGTAAATATGTTTTTGGCAGAGGCGAAATGAATACATTTTGCCCTCCATATTATTCTTATTAGCACCTACCTTTCCTTAAAGCTGATCACCCTGCAAAATGGCAAATTTGCACACAGCCAGCGATTTAGATAAGTTAGAAGGGAAATGAGAGAGGTAAGATTGAAGGATGTGTTTGTGTCTGGGGAGAGTGCTTTTTCTACATCTGTGAAGGTTTTTTCCTCTCTCAGGAAAGGGAACTAATTGTGGTTTCCTAATTTCAAGTCAATCTATATCTTCAACCCTCTGTATGTGTGTGTGTGTGTGTGTGTGTGTGTTTTGCCCAATTACTTAAAAAAAAAAAAAAAAAAAAAAAAAAAAAAAAAAGATAATGCAATGGGCATTACTTAGGCCGGCAGAAATGAACTCACAAGGAAGGGGCCAGGAATTTTTTCTCTCATTTTATCTGACCCAGAACCACCAAGACACAGGCCAGAGCTGACTTTTGCCCCAGGCACTTTTGACCACCCAGCACCTTTCTTTCTTCAACATCCTCTTTCCAGATTTTCAGTCGAGACAGGTAAGGGTGTAAGTGGCCTCTCAGAGGTCTCTATCAAAATTTTACTTGTGGGGTAGAGGGACTAAGTGACAGAATACTTTAAGAGGGTGGAGGAGAAATTTAACAGTCCTCCCGTGCAGACGGAGGGTGACATTCAAATGGGAGAACTTACTTCTGCAGTTTGCTGCTGTTTCATTCTTTCCATTATCATTGGTAGTGTTGTTAGGTGGCAGGGCTGTGAGGCTGAGTGGGGTTTTGTCCCCGGGGGAGCATATGTGACAGAGGGCGCAGGAAGATCTGTAAGTGAGAGGGCATAGCAAATTAAATGACCGCTACTGTCAGGAAGGTTGACAGGCCCAAAGAAAGATCGGCTCCTCCAAATCTGCTGAACTAACTCTCCCCTCATAGCCCCAGACACGTTTTCTCAATTTGAGCACAATATCCATTACTATTTCCCGTACTGGGTTTCAATTAAAGAGGGTGAGAGTAGAAAGTTCACTGGTGTTTGGGGGTTCATTTATTTCCAAGCACGATGCAAATGAAAGGGGGCCGTGGGCGCAGAGTCGTCGTGTGTGTTTTTCCTCCTTCTTCTTTCCATTTCCCTCTTGCAAACTTCCCTCCACGCCTTGCCAGCCACCCAGCACACCTGTGTTCCCAAAGCAAATGTTTTCATGTCTTGAAAATCCAGTTAGGGTAAGGAGAGAAGGAAGGTGATAACATCATACCTACTGATGCCCCATAGAGATGAAGCTATCCTGGGGGCACTTCAGGCTTTAGGGAAGGTTTTAGCTTCTCGAGGTGGGCACAGGATTTGGGGTAGTGTGAGCACTTGAAGGGTTCTAGGTTTTACTGTTGCACTGAAAACAGATGCAATCCCTCCTGCTGTAACATACTCCTATGGAAAAAATGTAATCTTCTGTGTGGTTATCCTATTTTGGTCTTAAAACACAGGGTGGTGATCTTGCTTCTCTGGGGGGTGCCAGGCAGATAGAACACATGAAAATCTGCTGCCAAGGTCGGGATGTAGGTCCCGGATTCAGGATCTTGACCCCAGGCCTGCCCTGCCCGCTAAGCAGTGGTCTTGCAACCAGGCAAACTCTCTGGCCGAACTCACTTCACACAAACTTGGAACTGAGCGCCAGCCTCCCCACCCCCTCCATCTTCTATGATCACTGACTCTGTACCATGGCCACCCAGACCACTGGGCAGAAGAGTAGCTGCAGGGTGTCCGTCTCAATTTCATGACACTCTGCTTAGCTTCCTCCTCCTTCCATGTCAGCAAGAGAAACTATAGGCCTCAACAATGTGACTGTAGTTTGAGTTGGGATGTGTCCCTCCCAAACCAATCATCCCTGACGCCAAATAATACAAACAAATCCTGCGTATTTTAAAATGTCCCAAGTCTTGTAGGATATCCAGGGACCGATCAGTGCCGACTGAAGAGACTATTCTCTCTCCCAATCCTTATAAAGGGATAGGTGAAGGTTGTGGCCCTAGAGATCCCAGAAGCCCTTAAAAGTCTTTAAATTGGGGTCTGAATAATGAGGGCTAGATACGTTTTTTTTCCCTTCCTTTCAAAAAAATTTTTATTTATTTTTAGAGGAAGGGGAATGAGGAAGGCGCACGCGCACGCACGCACACACACACACAGAGAAAGGGAGAGAATGTTTGGAATTGTGAAAGTGCCTTTCCTAATAGTTACTTTTACTGGCGCCCAGGCCTCAATTCATTTCATCTCCGAGCCAGTTACTAAAAATCCTCCCGGCGAGTGGAGAGGACCGGCCTTCCCGGGTCGGGAACCCGCCCTCTGTCTTCCCTCGCAGCGCCCTTTCCTCCTTTGGCTTGGGAAAGGACGACTTCGAGCCCCAGGAAGGAGTTGGGAGTGAGCGACACCCCAGAGCGTCCCATAAGGTCCTTTTGGCCATGTTTCCGCCCCAGGGGGTTTCACCTAGATCCCCCACCCCACCCCTTACCCCCGTTGCAAATACGTAAGCTGGACGCGCCTCGGTGCGGATCCAGGCCTCGCTGAGCACGGAACCGGAGAAGCAGCTCACGGTCTCGGATTGCACTCTCACGCAAGGGTGGAAGGGATGACAGGGCTCGGATCTTGCCCCAAACGCTGCACAGGCCTGCAGGAGAGCAAAGAGGTTTCGGACAGGCTGTACTTCCCCAGCTCTCGGTCGCGACAAGGTCCCGACAGGTCCGGGAACCTGCGAACCGCCTGCAGGTAACCCTGCGCTGGGTACCTGCCTTCCCTCTCCAGCTACCGGGGCGGGGCTCGGCGCGGCGAGCTCCCAGGGTAGGGAGTGAAGAAAGCGCGGCGGACCCAGGGCAGCGAAGTGCAGGTCTTTTTCCTTTCGAGAACCAATATCAAGATTGCAGGAATTCAGTTAGAAGCCGCTCACCTACCTCCACCTCCCGCCCCACTCCGTCCGATGTGTCTTTTTCTGCCGCATTGATTGCTACCTTCCCCCCTCCCTCCGCTTGCAAAGGACAAATCGGGAGTGGACGGTAAAGATCTTGCGGGGGGCCGTGGGGGGCGGGGAGGGGTAACCAAAAATAAAAGAGAAATGTAGGACACTGTGTCTCCCAAAGTGGTGGAAAAGCGATTGCAAGGAGATAACTCTCGGGAGAATAACAGTCTTAGAGAGAACGAAGCCGAGCAGGGGAATCTTCATGTTCGGAGCCGGGAGGGTTGAGGGGAGGGAGAGTTCTCGTCTCCCACCGCTGGGGTGTGTTTTTACATGTTTTCTTAGCAGCAAGTTTTATAAACAGGTCATCCCTACGCTGCCAGCCCAGGGAGTTGGAGCCTGTTTCTGGCTTCTGATGCAGACACCCTTCTTTCCCATTCGCCCCTTGCAAGCCAAACGCGCAGAGTTGGGAGGGAGGGGAAGCTTCCTTCCACTTCTGATTTGGGGGTACTTTTGCTTTTGAAAGGCTCTTCTTGTCTTCAGACGGTGAAATACGAGTTCTCCACATGTCTGAGTCTGGTACCTCAAGCATAGATGCATGGGGAAGTGGGGAGCGCTGCTCTAATTACCTCTGCGCTGGATGGGGGTGGAGCGGGGGATTCTGTCTTTCAACCTGGCCCTGCTGGGGTGCCGAGGCGCATTATTAAACCCAGACGCTCGGGCCAGGAGTTGGGGCCATGCGGAAAAGATTTACAATTAAGCCAATTGGGGCCGAATACAGCCATCCAAAGTTTGCAGGTGTAAATAGTGTCTCGAATTTTTTTTCTTCCCTTCCAAGTAACTTCGTTGCCCAACACCACTCCCACCCCACCCCACCCCCGCCTCCCGCCAACCCCTTCCCCACTTCCTGGGACTCTAATTCTTTTGAGAACAGGGAGAGGAGGAAGGACGGTATGGTAGAGTTGGGATTTTTCTATTAGACAAGTTAAAATATGATGTTGCATTCACTTTTATGTGCGCGTATTAATGCAGCGAATATAACCAGGACAGGCTCCTCCATTGCATGTCTCCATCTAGAATTTGAGAATTGTTGGAGTCAGTGAGACCTTTTGACTTCGACATATGATTTTTTTTAAGGGAGTGGAACAGACTTCTGTAAAACAGGGATATTGCAGTTGAATTATGAAGTTTTTGAGTTGGGGAGATTGGGTGAGGCAGGAGTCAAATACAAAGGAAATTCCCTCTGGTAGGGGTATAAGAAGATTGCTACAGATGGAATCTGAAGGGGAGGTGAGGCTGGCTTGCTAGAAAGAACAGAGTCAGGGACCTTTCTAGCGCTTCAGTTTAGATCTTTCTAATGTTTAGAGCGCTTACTGAGTCGTGTATAGGTCCAACCTTAAGCCCATCTCTCATTGCATTATTTAAATGTCAAATAATATGCATGTGTGTTTCTAAACTGTTTTTTTGTGGGTATCAGTGTGTATATGGACATTCCAAGTAGCCCAGAATATAACATTAAATCTCAGACTTTAAAAATGCATCGCAATCACACCCCATGGGCAGACTCTTATTTGATCAATATAGACGGAACTAAATTTGTTTTGCAGCTACGCAGTTACTCTTTTTCTCTTGGAGCAATAAAGTCTGTCTGTTACAAATTACCAGGGAATTGGAGAATATACCCCCCCATACACACAGACACCACAACTGTTGTTCAGTGTTTTTAATCTCCCACTAACCCACTCAATAATAGATATAATATGTGTGTACACAGGCACTTTTCCAAAAAATTAGCGATAACATTGTGGGTGCATGAAGAGGGCGTTTTTCTCTCTTTGCATTTAGGATTGGTTGCACACTAAGTTGCTACTCAGGAGACCCATTACCAGGGGGATCGACACCCATGGGGCCTCAGGGAAGAAGTTTAACAGCCTGCATTGCATGCAAAGACAGGGAGTCAAGGCGCCTGATTCCAGTCTGAATAAGGGCATAGGTGTAGAATTAGTAAGACAGGACTTAACATGTCCACGGAGCTGCAAGCGTCACCCAGCCCAGGATGAACCCCTCAGCTGCCACAGGAAAGTTTCCAGGCAGTGGTAGTGAAAACACTTTTTCTCTCTCTCTTTTAAAAGCTTCCCAGCCCAGTGCACAAGTTCCGCATAAATAAAAGGGGCTACTTGAACACTAGGTGAACCTGAATCAGTCTGAAGCAGAGAAGGAAGTACAGGACCCAGGCTGGAGATGGAGTGCCCCAATTTGCGGAGGTAGAGAAGGAGTGGATTGCTTCCCACTTGGAAACCTCTGCTCTTCCCTTCTGGAGAGGCTCATCGGGAACCCCTGCGGAAGGTGCCCTTGCAGTCTCCGCTGGATGGCGCTTGGGGGAGACGTGGCTGGTGGACAGTGTCCTCTGTGTGCCCCAGAGGGCCTTGTCAACTGGTTGGGTTGGGTTGAGGCCTCAGTTTGGAGCCTCTGCGGTGGCAGTTCCAGATATGCCAGGAGGCTGAAGCTGCTCCTGGAGTCTGGAGCAGGAGGGGGCCGCCTGGAATCTGCCAAATGTGGGAGCTGGGGCAAGAGAAGTTAGGTGCAAGCCAGGAAGTGGGAGAAGAGGGTTCTCAGTGCAAACTAACATCTCATTTCTAAAGCTCTGCTTGCACTGTATTAACTCCCGTTTACCGAGAAAGGTGTTGAGTGAGTGCGTGAGTGTGTGTGCGCTGCGGGAGAGTGGTCTGGAAAGGACCACAGCCAGACAAGTGTGGAGATCTGCAAAGGGTTCATGGTTTTGGGAACCTCAGGGTCCCACATCCCTTTTTGCAAAGGCCAATCTGGTGCCTGCCCAGCCCCGGTCCACTCGTTAGAAATTGGAGTGGCTGACATTACCCGGGAACCAATCTGAATTGTATCTGGAATTGGGAACACAGGAGTGGGTTCTAATCTAATCTCATGGGCACAGGACCCCCTTGGAGGACTGCTCAGTCCATTGTATGACTGGCTTCAGTAGTCATTTGGAAGGGTCTCTGTCAAGGTGATTAAGACCTCAGCTGAGAGTGGAGCTGTGGGCTACAATATTAGGAAGAATAAATTCATCCAACACTTACTGAGTTCCTATTGTGTACCAAGCAATGCCCTCACCTTTATGATCTTGTCAAAAGTTAAAGAACTAGGCAGCAAAGAAAAAAGACTACCAACTATAGCCAAATAAAGTTAATAGGCTACACAGTCTGTGTAGAAGTGTCTAAAATTAGGTTTTCTATTTTGTAAGAGATGGGGTTCCTCATCTCTCCAGCTCTGATCACAGTGCTCACAGCTAATGGGTGCTCAATAAATAATCGTTCAATACAGGAATGAAAGCCAAGAAAGAAAGGGAGAGAAAGAGACTAAGAAGGGCATTTTCTCTGCCTTTGTAAAACAAATAACCACTTCCAAAGTGCATTTGTAAAGAACCAGTATTCAATTTATTAGCTACTCCCCTAAACGGATTCTGATATATAAAATAAGACAGTGAAAAGCCGACTTACTCTAAGATGGTAATGGGAAGAGAGGTTTGGTATAATGGATAGAAAATTCCACTCCATCATTGAACAGATATTGATTGAGCTGGTACCTATCTAGGTACCAGTTAGTCTTCGAAGTGCTGGAGACAAGGGGGTGAATACAAGATGGGTCCCTTTCAGCTTAATGCTTATGGTCCTGAGTTTTGTTCACTCCGGTAAAAGTATATTATTAATCCCATTTTGAAGATGAGGAAAATCGAGGCCCACGAAGAGTGGAACAGGAGAGGGCTTAATTTCAAGATCTCTGGGCAGGACAGGCCAAACTCAATCAGCCTTAGCTCTTCTACGCGCTGTGGAGAGGTAGGGCTGGGTGATTTTTCGCTCTTGGGAGCCTTGGAAACCCAGACAGCGTTACTGACCTGACTGGCGGAGGTCACCGCGGGCGCCAGGCGTGCGTGGGAGCCGGAGCTTAACACCCAGCCGCTGTCCCCCAAAAGACTTTCCCGGATCTGCTCACCCCAGCTCCCAGCTCAAAGGCCCTCCCTTCTAAACTCTCCGGTCCGTTTCTTGCACTCAGAGCACACGCCTAGCCTACAAGTGGGTAATACTGCCGAGTGGGTAATACTGCCGCTCTGCACAAACAGAAAACTTTGGGATAGACAACTAGGGAGTCTTGCGCCTTCACATTGTTAAAAATTGACAGTAAAAAGGTTTCCATAACCCCTCCCCCGCCGCCAGGGTTTTATGCTTCTGTACAGACCTCTCCCCACCGTTAGTATCCCAATGCTCAGCGCTGTCTCTGGCACATGCAGTGTGTTCATCAAATGTTTGTTGATTGACCAAATAAACTATTTTTCTTTAATTTTTGTTTTAAAAACATTATCAAAGTAAAAAATGAATTAGTGATCGAATAAGAGGCAGTGGGGTGAGAAGCTCGTTTTGCCGGCGCCCTGGGAGGGGGTGGAACCGGCTTAGGACACCCGTTCGTTTTCCAGCAGCCGCTGGGTTACTTCCCACCAGCTTTGCAAAGACGCCTGCGATTTCCTTTGGTCTACATTTCTGTCCCAGACTTCGTTCAGTTGATCGATGAAGGAGACAAGCTGGCCCACAGGGAGGTCAATACAATCGACGCGGACCTCGACGAAACCGAAAAATCTCACCGGTTCCTGCGTGCTGGGTTCCACTAAAAATGTTTCAGGATTTAGGGTTTCTGCCTCCTCGCTGTCATTACTGAACTGGACTGAGGATGGCAGTGGGTAGGCAGGAAGAAGCCTCAAGTCGCACTCAGGTGAGCCTAGGGGTACACCGGGCCTGGAGAGCGCCCCCCGCTCCACTTCCACCCAGCTGGTGTAACCCATACTACCGAGTGGTGAAATCATCAGAGTTCCCTAGTAGATTTCGTTCTTGAACTTCTCGGCCTTGGAATCAGACGCCCGGGTCATTGCGCAGCGGGGCCACTCTTCTTAGCTCCGGGTTCCTCACCTGAGAAATGGGTTTCTTATAAAATACAATTTATTGGCAAGAACATTTGTGAAATACTTAGGAAGATGATAATGTTCTAAGAGTTCACCCACACATCAGCTTATCAACCACAATAATCTAATGAGGCGGGAGCCTTCTCAGTGACCTCCACTTTCCAGACGAGGAAACAGAGACACGCAGAGAAAGACAGACGCTTGCCCGAAGTCACACAGCCAGTGTTTTGGGGAGCTGGAATTTACCCTGGGGTTTGTCTAATTCGAGTCCGACTTTTAACAGCAAAACAGTAGGAGTCCGACACACGCACACAGTAGGTACACAGTAGCGATCTGTTTTCTTTGATCTTTGCCCTTTAGGAAGAGAAATTCCATCTAACCCTTTCCCGCGCAGATTTGAAAACTGCCTGTATTCTTTGGTCCCTTCCTTCTGGAAGCAAATGCAATTGGTGGGTGGGGAGTGCGAGTGTGACAAAAACCTTAAACTCTGGAAATCCAGATCTTTACCGCCCCCTCTTTTTTCAGTACGAAGGAACCTGGGGAAAGTGCGCGCGCGCGCGTGTGTGTGTGCGCGGGCGCGCGCATTTGTGTCTAGAATGAAT